TACTTATTTCATTACTGGTGCTGCCTTGTCAGATCCGTATCCTTTTACTACTAATGAAAGTTTAAATTATAAGCCGGCATACGAATTTTCATTCGATGTAGCTACGGAAGATGACGTCGCAAAATGCGTCTTTGCAATAAAATCAAATGCTACCGGCGTGGATGGAGTCAGTCTACGCTTTCTAAAACTAATTCTGCCTTATGTGCTGCCTACTCTAACACATATTTTCAATTATGCCTTAACCTCCTCTACCTTTCCCAAAGAATGGAAAATTGCAAATATTATTCCGATCCCTAAAAACAACTCAGCTGACTCTCCAAGGGACTTTAGACCCATTAGCATTTTACCAGCTCTAGCGAAAGTTTTCGAAAAATTAATTTCCACCCAAATAATTCACCACCTTGATAAGTACAGTCTCTTGAGCGAGTTCCAATCTGGTTTTCGATCCAACCACAGTTGTTCTACTGCCTTGTTAAAAGTTATGGAAGACATTCGTCCTGCTTTTGATAATAAGTTACTTACTATTTTAGTGCTCTTAGATTTTTCTAAAGCTTTTGATATGGTTAGACATGACATTCTTCTGTTAAAGCTGCAACATTATTTTGGTTTTAATTCAACGTCACTCAAATTAATGAGCAACTATCTCTCAAACAGATACCAACAAGTCCAATGCGGAGACATCTTTTCTTGTCGCAAAAAAATAACCTCTGGAGTACCTCAAGGCTCGATTCTAGGTCCCATTCTTTTTAGTGTTTTCATAAACGATATTGTTTTCTGTTGCCAAAACTCATGTATTCATTTATATGCTGATGACACACAGATTTATTTCTCGCGTCCCATCGGTCTAGGTGAAGATTTAGTTTTTAGGTTAAATGAAGATCTTGGTAGAATAGTAAAGTGGGCCAAAACGAACGGTCTCAGTTTAAACGCTGCCAAAACGCAGGTACTGCCTATATCGTTTGATCCTCTTGATTTAAGAAGTTTGCCATCATTAATGCTGGGCAATACGGAGTTGAATTTCCAATCCGTTGTAACGAATCTTGGTTTTAAAATGAATACACATTTAACTTGCACAGATCACATTAGCCATTGTATATCCAAGATATATTTGATTCTAAGGAATTTATGGCAAACGTGTAACTGCCTACCAACTAACATAAAACTTAAATTGGTACGGTCTCTTATTGTCCCCAACATTTCGTATTTCGAAATGGTTTATTGTAATCTGGACAGTGAATCCAAGAACAAATTAAATATGGCCTTAAATAATACAGCCAGATTTATTTACGGTAAAAGAAAGTATGACCACATTTCAGAGTTCACAAAAAGCATCTTAGGCTCGAACTTGGAGAGCTATCTGAAGATTCGTAACATCTTATTTTTGTATAAGTTAATTAGATACCGACAACCATGCTATCTTTACCGAAAACTGAACCTGGTTCAATCGTCTCGCACCCATAATTTTATTGTACCTAGGTATAAAACTTTAACAGCGTCTAGATTGTTTTTTGTTAGTGTTGTCAGAATCTGGAACTCCTTACCAACCTCAATTAAATGTATAACAATGTTTGGATGCTTCAAAGCGGCAGTTACAAGTCTTTTTAAGTAAAATCCTTCTACCTTCCCTAAAACTCCTCTCCTAAAATATTATCTTTATCTATTATATATATATATATGCTTTTGTTTTTTTTGCACAACTATTACTTATAATTAAATATTGTTGTTACCATCACAATATTTTTTCTGTACTTTATCTAATTAGATTTTAGTTGAAGTTAATTTTGTAATTTTTTTTTGGATTATTTGTACATTGAAAAGACCTCGCGTTTTACTGTACTCAAGAAGTTAATAAATTGAATTGAATTGAATTGAATTTTAAAGTTAAAACTTTTTATCAATGTTATTGTGGCTTGTTAACATTTTATTTTTAATATTTTTATTGAGCTTTGTACCTCGATTGTTTATTAGGAAAAATTGAAAAAGCAACAAAGTCTAAGCGGTAGAAGTTATAGCACTATTTCGGAGATCACCACATCTCCTCATCAGACTTCTTTTTCTAGACTTCAGCAGGGATCGAACCTGCGAATTCGATGTTCAAAGTCAGAAGCGTTAACCACTGAGCTATGTACATCCCGTAAACTCTTGTTGCTAATTCATTTTCCTTATTCAACCAACGACTATCCAGTGCAGCTGATTTGCCGCTATTTAAACTCGACAGCGTGGTTGTTGTTGTCAATTCTATACATCCATTTGCTTATTTGCTATTTTGTACAGTTTCAGGCAGGCTCTTCCTAAACTATGTATTTGTCAATGTTATTGTGGCTTGTTAACATTTTATTTTTAATATTTTTATTGAGCTTTGTACCACGATCCCTGCTGAAGTCTAGAAAAAGAAGTCTGATGAGGAGATGTGGTGATCTCCGAAATAGTGCTATAACTTCTACCGCTTAGACTTTGTTGCTTTTTAAATTTTTCCTAATAAACAATCGTGGTACAAAGCTCAATAAAAATATTAAAACTTTTTATTTTTGCATAAAAATATGGTTCGTGCTTTAACAAAAACTTAACTAAAAAAAAGCTTAGCAAAATTTAACAAATTTTCATAAAAATTTTGAGATTTTTAATAAGGCTTTTTATTTATTTTTATGGAATTTTTATTTTTTTTGCTAAAGGCTTTTTGCACTTTTTTCCATTCAAGCATGAATTTCTTATGGAAGAAAATGCGCAAGACCTTTCGCAATGAAAATTATAAAAATAAGCAACGCTAGTTTTTATAAATTGCTCTTGTGAAATGAAAAAAGCCGTCAGCAAAAAATAAAAACATATTAAAAATTGAGGCGATTTCGCAGTCGCCTAAATCTTGAAATTTATTATACTAAATTCTTCTAAGCTCCGTATAACTTTGATTTTTACGGTTTTGTTTAAAGCATGAACCATATTTTCATGAAAAAATAACAAAAAAATTTAACTTTACATATTTAACAAAAATCGTCATATACGCCCCCCCACTGTATATTAGCTTAAAAGACGCACCATTGACACACTGATTCAAATACGACAAAGCACACAATTTTTGATAGCTCACAAAACCATCCTCCTCGAGATTTGCTAAGATCTCCATACGCAGCTTCTCTTGGTACTGCGGATGATGCGCCAACTTTTAAAAGAAAATGTTATATGTATTCGCAATAAGTAGAATTGTTTATAAAGAAGATTAGTAGACACTCACATAAAATATTGTATGGAAGAGCACCGTCGCCGATGTCTCGAAACCATCCAGCGTTGTAGTCAGCATACATCCGACCATATCGTTGAGCGTTAAATTTTTCTTTTCTTGCAATTGTCGCAGATAGTTGAGAAAATCCACTCTGTTCTGGCTACTCTCATCTTTTTCACGCCACTCCAGGGCATCCTTAGTTAGTTGTGTAAAGAACCGATCGGTTGCCAAGGGAAACAAACGAGGTTGCACAAAGCGACGTAACCAAGGCACGGGTAGCAATTTGAAATAAACAGTAAATGATTGAGCGATATATTGCAACCATTTTTGTGACATTTCCAGAAAAGTATTCGGTTCGTTCGACTTAGCGAATGCATTCGTTTCGATGCCCCAAAGGAACTCACCTAAGACGTTGGAGGTAAAACAGAAGCCGAGCTGGGTAAGAGAATGAAGTGAAAAGAAATTACTGTTACATATTTTTTTTGTATCTACATATATACATTACATAAAAACAAACTCTCGAAGTTGTAAAGATAAAAGTGCTAAAGGGGTTTTGAATCGATTCAGCGAAGGTTTGCATGTAAAATAATTGTCTAGGACAAGTTGCCTTTATTATCTTAACTATATTCATACCTTTTAATCCGGCAGCCCGGAATTCGTTCTTCGTTAGGTACTTACATTCTTTGTTTCGATGATGGCATTGCCATTAGCAGTTCTGTTTTCGAGATATTTGGCCAATTTTTTTGCGCAGCCTTTCCAAATGGGATAAGCCATGCTGAGCTGAAAATAAGTTAGCGTTAATGGATTTTTTAGTGCTTGAAAAATTAAAATAAAACGTGAAATGCACCTTGTTTTGCTTTAATCCACCGACTACATGTAACCTTTTCGCTTTCCATGACTCGTCGCTGGTAAAGAAAGGACTTCCGGCAGCTATCTTATCTTCATTTCTGTTATATATCTATTAAAAGAAAGAGCCTAAATATTTAGTTTCATTACACACGATTAATTTTCCGTTAATGATTCCAGAAATTCAATGTATGTATGTATATTAGACTGTCCCAAAAAACCGAAGTTGTTATTTTTTAACGCATACCCCCTCATTTTATTGGTTTTGTCTTAAAAGCTATCCGACTAAAGTTTTATGGAATTTGGACCACGGCAAGCTTGCAATTCAGTTCTGTGTTTTGTTGACTTACTAACTTTACTTATTTACGATATTCTAGGCGATATTACAATACTCACGACAGTATTAGGACATAATATTTAACAAATCTACGTTTTTAGTTTTTTTTTACCAGGTAGTCAGGATTGTTTTCAAAGGACCATAAATTATAACACATATATTTCCAAAAGTTTACACAAAATATGGATATATGAGTATCAATTAAAAGAAAAATTCAAAACAAGAATAATTATGACTTTTGTTTTAAATTAATCCTTTTGGAACATGTAAAAATGTCCTTTGAAAATATTATCCTTCAAGATTTTGAATTTTTAATGCATTTTGAAGAATCCTAGTTTAATTTGAATGCTATAAATATATATAAGGATCTTGAAGGATAAAAATTGCTTAACGGTTTCCATTTCCTTGGAAAAAAACCTGCTGTCGTATTAAAAATTGAAGGATGCAGATTTATTAGAAATTCGTTCAAATATGGGAAACATATCGAATTTTTCGCATTTCCAAAGTTTTCATGGACGATTAATTCAACTTATTAACTAAAACTTCAACTAAAAGTCGGCGCGGATTATCGTTATCCTACGGCCATAAAACTTCATATTTATGATATTTAGGGCGAAAAGCTAACATACAGAGGGTATGCATATAAAAACTTGCATAAATTTTTGTCCCATATATTTTTGGGACAACCTACTGTACATACATATGTATGCATGAATGTATGTAAATATGTACTTATACATGTGCATCTTCTTACCAAATCGGCTGCTACGTTGCCGCGAAACTTTCCAAAATTTGTCACCATAATTTTCTGCGCCAGCCCTGGGTCTAATATTAATATTTGCGGATTCCGAGTCATAAAGACACCGATGGCTTTATGCGTGTTCTTATATTTACTGAAAAAATATAATATATAAAATAGTTCGAGCCCGGTTCAGCCTAATATCAAAAATAACAACAAAACAAAAAAAAAGTTTTTTTCTGATAGCGGCCGCCCCTCGGCAGGCTATGGCGAACCTCCGAGTGTATTTATGCTATAAAAAACAGCTTCTCATAAAAATACAGTCGACGCTCGGAGTGGATCCCTGCCCTTTGTGTGACAACATCAAGGCTCACGCCACAAATCGGAGGAGAAGCTCGGCCAAACACTAACATGGCACTTACAATCTATTATTATTATAAAGTAATGGATATTTAAAAATTAACGTAGTGGGATAGCAAATTTTAAAATTAAAAAAAAATCGTAGCAATTTATCTAAAATCGTAGCACAGTGACAACGCTAAACACTGACCATTAACAATCAAAAACCACTAGGAACATAGCAGTCGCACTTACCTATAAACTTCATCGACATCATAGACCACTGGCTGTTTGCCGGTGATAGCGCTGGGAAAATTTCCTAAAAATATATTTGGTTTTGGGCCATCTAGACCAACTTCTTTAAATACTCCATGATGCCAGCTTAAATATTTGTAAACTAATAAAATTATAGCTCCAAGAAGACCAACAGTGACTAGAATCGCTTCCATTTCGTTACTGATCATATTGGAATTCTTGTTTGAAAATGAGATGCAGTTATCAGCTTAGACGACGTTTACCGATAAGAATGTGCATATTTGCATTTATGAATTTGTTTTATTATTCATACTATTTACGATTATACTTATTTGTAAAAGCTAATATGTTTCACATTAATAAAACGCTAGTTGAATATTCAGAAATATACAGT